GTGGAAGGGGGCGCCGTGGAGGGCCCCGGCTGGCCGTGTGTGTGGAATGGGAGGCTGTGGAGAACAGGGTGGGACCAGGAACTGTAGGAGAACAGTGGCTTTCCCTGGCCAGTCCGCCAGGTGGGCGTAGGGACGGGTGACTGTACCTGGCAGTTGACGTCCATCTGTCCATTTGAAAGCAAGTACTGGACTACTTCGTAGTGGCCTTTCTTGGCAGCCAGGTGCAAACACGTGGAGCCCTCTGCGTCCTGCAACAGAAATGCTACTGACTCAAGGAACCCACAGCTGTGATTCTGATGTGCCAGCCCCGAGGTACAGGATCAAGGAGAACCCTTGCCCACCAAGGGGGTGTGGGACTACCCAGCAAACGGACAAGGAAACCCAGGCTGAGACAGTGGGGCTTTTTCCCAAGGGCACAGCCGAGATCCAAACCGTGTGCAGCCCGGTGGCCCCATGCGTGATCGGTCCCCAGCACAGTCAAGACAGTGTGAATGATTCCGTAATGGCTGTCCGTGTACCATGGAACTTAAAATGATAGATGGCAAGAAGCAGGAAAGCAAAGTGGGCCAGGCCCTCCCCGCAGCACCCACAAAACGCCACAGGCTCTGCCCGCCTCTTGCTTCCTTTGCTGCTGGGCACATCTTTCTTTTCTTCTTCTTTTTGAGATGGGGTCTTGCTGTATCACCCAGGCTGGAGAGCAGTGGTGCATCATAGCTCACTGCAGCCTCTGATTCCCAGGCTCAAGCGATCCTCATGCCTCAGCCTCCCAAGTAGCTGGGACCACAGGTGTGCAATGCCTAGCTAACATGTTTTTCTTTTCTAGAGACAGGGTCTTGCTATACTGCCCAGGCTATTTTTGAACTCCTGGCCCCAAGCGATCGTGCCACCTCAATCTGGGAGTCACAGGCACCATAGCTGGGATTACAGTGCTGGGATTACAGGTGTGAGCTACCATGCTTAGCTTGGGAGCACCTCCTCATTTCCTTTCAGCTGTTTCCCCAAGGAGACTAAACAGATCACACCGACCAAAGCAAAAAACAGACATGCAAGACTGGAGGTCAGACCCAGACCCAGACCCAGGAAGCTCCGAGAGAGGCGGGGAGCCAGCGCCAGCTGCACTGCAGCACCACCCGCACGTCCTACACAGGCTCTTCCTGCCCGCGGCCCCCACGCCCACCCCGGCAGTGAGGGCCCTGCCCACGGCCCCCACGCCCACCCCGGCAGTGAGGACTCTGCCGGCTGCTCCTCGCACAGCCCTTGCCAGTCTTTTCCACCCGTGACATTGTGCAGATTTCAGTGACTATAAGACGGACCCTTAGTCTTGGTTTTTCACTTGCTGCTTCTGGGTCATTCGTACGTATTTCCTCTTCCGGGAACTCCACGTTTATGTTCTTTGCACATTTTTCTGTGTGGTTTTATCTTCTTTGTACTTCTATTTTTGGATATTAATCTTTTGTTCATGTGTTGTGAAATCTTCCCACAGTTTTTAGACTGCCTGTGCGTGTCCTTTGTGACCTTTGTTGAACAAAAATTCTTAAATTTTAATGCCCTTAACTTTCTTCACCTTTTTTGTGTCTTGTTTAAGAAACGCTTCCCGTGCTGGATTCACAAGGCGGCCTCCCTGTGGCCTTCCAGGCTTCATAACTTGCCTCTCATTGGATTCTCATGCTCACCACGTGCACGCTTCTCCAGCCGGGCTGGCGTCTTGCGTTTGAAGCCGGAGCACCGCGGGACACAGCTGGTTCTCACATCTGTGCCGTCAGACAAACTCCGGCCTTTCAAGGGGTGCGTCTGCAGCGTCGTTACTGACAGGGTGAGGCCTGGGTCCGTCACTCTGCTATCGGCTTTCTATTTACCCCATCTGGTTTCTCCCTGCATTTAACGGCACAACTTTTCAGTATTACAATTTACTTCCTCCGCCTTTTTTCCTGTAAGGCTGTATTTGTCTTATTTTCTTGGTACCTTCTCCAGGGATTATAATATTCATCTGATTTAACATTTTACCACCTCCCACAATAAAACACTTTTACAACAGTGTGATTCCACTTTCACACCGTCCTCCTTTGGGTGCTTATAATCCGGTATTTCACAGCTGGTCTTCAAATAACATTGTTTCACTCAGTGTTGTTTCTGTTATAACACTGATGAGGTAAAAACAAACAAACAAAAACCATTCCCAGGCGGGGCCACTGTGTGGAGTCTGCAGGTCCCCCCCATGTCTGTGTGGGTTTTCTCTGGGTACCTGAATTTCACTCACATCCCAAAGACCAGCGTGTTAGATGAATTGGCGTGTCTATGCCGTCCCAGTCTGAATGTGTGTGTGTGTGCATGTGCATGCCCTGCGATGGGGTGGCATCCTGGCCCAGGCTGCTGCCTGCCAGTGGACCTGAGTTGCCAGCATAGGCACTTACAACCCTGACCTGGAATAACTGGGTAAACACTAACCTTATTTGTTTGTATTAATCCTTCTTAAATGTCTGAACCGCTCACATGTATTTCGTTGTTTAATATTAGAAATACTTTGGTCTTGGCCGGGCATAGTGGCTCACGCCTGTAAGCACTTTGGGAGGCTAAGGTGGGCAGATCATGGGGTCAGGAGTTCAAGACCAGCCTGGCCAGGACGGTGAAACCCCATCTCTACTAAAAACACAAAAATTAGCCGAGTGTGGAGGCAGGCACCTGTAATCCCAGTTACTCTGGAGGCTGAGGCAGATAATTAATTCAACCCAGTAGGCGGAGGTTGCAGTGAGCCAAGATCGCACCACTGCACTACAGCCTGGGTGACAGAGTGAGACTACTCTCAAAAAAAAAGAAAAGAAAAGAAAGAAATACTTTTGTCTAGATTTAGAAGTTTGCCAATGTTTCTGTGACCAGAAATATGGTATAAGAACTTCACTCTTGTTAGATCAATCAGTCTGTGAACTGGCGTCACTGCTTGAAGAAGTCACATTTTCTAAGGACCTATCGACAAACAGCATTAAGTGCAGACTCGCCGGGCTTCTAAGCGTGTGTAATCTCTACTTTATGACGCTGTTTTAGTTTAAATGACCTCTTGCATTTTAGGAAATTTAAATAAGAAAAAAGTCTTCATATCTCCCATCTGGTGCTCCTCTTCCATTCCCAAAGGGCTAAGTTTTCCTCTTGGAAGCTTCAGGATTCTAAGCAAACGTATCTGCCTTTTGTGTTTTTTTTTTACCTGAACATGTCTTATTTCACCCTCATTCTCTGAAGAATACTTCTACTGGATGCAGGATTCTCGGTTCACATTTTTGGCTTTGCTTCTTTCAGCACTATAAAAACTGCTTCCGTGGTTTCAGATGAGAAGTCAGTAATATTTCATGATGTCTGTCCAGACGTTATGTGCTGTTTTTTTTCTTTGAGATGGGGGTCTCACTCTGTCGCCCAGGCTGGAGTGCAGTGGCACCAATACAACTCACTGTGGCCTCAAACTCCTGGGCTCAAACAATGCTCCTGCCTCAGCCTCCCAACGGGCTATGACTACAGGCAAGGGCCACCATGCCCAGCTAATGTTTTATTTCTTACAAAGATGGGGTCTCACTGTGTTGTCCAGGCTGATCTCAAACTCCTAACCTCAAGCCATCCTGCCTCAGCCTCCCAAAGCATTAGCATTACAGAAGCAAGCCATTGAACCTGGCCAAATGTTTTATCTATTTTGATCTAGCACTTCTACAGCCAGAAATCTGTCCTAAAGAAGCCAAATGTGCAAATATTTAACTATACAAATGTTTACTGAAGCATTGTTTATAATAAAAATTGAAGGCTGGGTATGGTGGCTCACATCTGTAATCCCAGCACTTTGGGGGGCCAAGGAGGGCAGATCACAAGATCAAGAGACCAAGACCATCCCCTGGCCAACATGGTGAAACCCCGTCTCTACTAAAAGTACAAAAATCAGCTGGGTGTGGCAGCGTGCCCTGTAGCCCTACCTACTGGTAGGGAGGCTGGGGCATGAGAATTGCTTGAACCCGCGAGGCGGCGGTCGCAGTGAACTTAGATTGCGCCACTGCACTCCAGCCTGGCAACACAGCGAGACTTCATCTCCAAAACAAAAATTAAAAAATAAAAATAAAAATTGAAAATAAGAAATATTAAATATACAAATTTGACTAAAAGTAAAAAATTGTATCATAAATCAATACAGCCATTTAAGGAATGTTTTACAGAATAATATTTAATAATAGAAAATACTGAAGGTTTAATGTGATATGAGGCAGGAGTTGAATCACTATGAGTGTGATCACTTTTTTTTTTTTTTTTTTTTTTTTTTTGAGACGGAGTTTCGCTCTCGTTACCCAGGCTGGAGTGCAATGGCGCGATCTCGGCTCACCGCAACCTCCGCCTCCTGGGTTCAGGCAATTCTCCTGCCTCAGCCTCCTGAGCAGCTGGGACTACAGGCACGCACCACCATGCCCAGCTAATTTTTTGTATTTTTAGTAGAGACGGGGTTTCACCATGTTGACCAGGATGGTCTCGATCTCTTGACCTCGTGATCCACCCGCCTCGGCCTCCCAAAGTGCTGGGATTACAGGCTTGAGCCACCGCGCCCGGCGTGATCACTTTTTTGTTGGAAAAAATACGTATTAATATGAAGGACTAAGAATTTAACTTTTTTGTTATGGTAATATATAACAAAATTTGCCATTTTGAAGCATACAGTTTTCTGGCATTCAGCACATTCACAACGTTGTACCTCGATCACGACCATTTCCAAAACTTCATTCCCCCAAAACGAAGCTCTGCAATCATTAAGCGGTAACATCCCCGGCCCCAGGCCATCTCCAGTCTACTTTCTGTCTCTCTGAGCCTGATAATCCAGATGCTTCTATCGCTCAAATCCTACAGCATTTGTTCTTGTGTCTGGTGGCTTCTCTCCCTCAGCACCGTGTCCTCAAGGTCCATCTGGGCTCTTCATAGGTCAGAATCTGATTCCTTTCTACGGCTGAGTAACATCCCATCATATGGATGGACTAGATGTGCCGATGCATGCATCTGCTGAGACGTCTGGGTTGTTTCTCTTCTCAACAGTGTTGTATAAGGTCTGTTTGTGTTCCTGGTTTCCATTTCTGTGGTATACACTCAGGAGTGGAGTTGCTGCAGATCACAGGCTAATCCTATGCTAAACTATTTGGGAACCACCAGGCTGGCTTCCACAATGGCTGCCGCGTTTTTCATCCCCACCAGCAATGCGTGAGAGTCCCAATTTCGCCACATCCTCTGAGCTGCATCTCAGCTGGCTCTGATTTGGCTTCCCTGGTGGCTGGTGACGCTGAACACCTTGTCATGTGGAAAGTGGCCCTTGTGGGCCTTCCTTAGAGAGATGGGTATTCAAGCCCTTTCTTTGCCCATTTCTGAATTGGGTTTTTGATTTTCTGTTGTTGTTGAGATGTACAACCTCTTTATATATTCTGGATAAAAACCTCTTATCAGAGAATCTTAAATACATTTTCTCACTCTGTAGATTGTCTTTTCACTCTATTGGTAGTAATCTTGGATTTTAAAATCTTTTATTATTTTTACAAACCCTTGCATTGGGGACTGACTTTAGATCGCAGTGAGGGAGTGCTCTGTCACCTAAAACCCCAACCTAGAAGCAGGTCGTCTACAGATGATTCAGTGCCAGGTTCCCAATTAACCTGCCCTGTGTGAGAGGCTGCATGTCATTTTCCAGGGCCAGAAGTTTTAAATGTTAATCAAGTTTATCTGTTTCTTTGATTATGCTTTTGGTATCATATCCAAGAAATCACTGCCAAATCCAATGTCATAAAGCTGCCCCCCATGTCTTCTTCTAAGAGTCTTCTGGTTTTAGCACTTAAGTACAGCCCTTTCCATCCATTTCCTTTTTCTTTTTCTTGAAGCAGAGTTTCACTTTTGTTGCCCAGGCTGGAGTGCAATGGCGCGATCTCGGCTCACTGCCACCTCTGCCTCCCAGGTTCAAGCAATTCTCCTGCCTCAGCCTCCCGAGTAGCTGGGATTACAGGCACCCACCACCATGCCCAGCTAATTTTTGTATTTTTAGTAGAGACGGGGTTTCAACATGTTGGCCAGGCTGGTCTTGAACTCCTGACCTCAGGTGATCCACCTGCCTCGGCCTCCCAGTGTGCTGGGATTACAGGCGTTGAGCCACCGCGCCTGCCTGCATTTTCCATTAATTTCTGAATATGGTGTGAGGTGAGGATTCAACCTCATGCTTCTGCATGTGGGCATCCAACTGCCTCAGCACCATTTGTTGAAAATACTGTCTGTTTCCCATTGAATGGTCTTCGTAACCTCAACAAAAATCAGTGACCATATATGTAACGGTTCATTTCTGGGCTTTTTATTTTATTCTGTTGGTCTCCATTTCTGTCTTCATGCCAGTCCTACACTGTTTTCATTACTGTGGCCGTATATAGTAAGTTTTGAAATCAGCAAGTATGAGTTCTCCAACTCTGTTCTTTTTCAAAATTGTTTGGCTGCTCCAGGTCTCTTAAGGTTCTGTATAAACTTTAGAGCTTTTCTACATCTGTAAAATAAAGCTGTTAGGGCCAGGCGAGGGGCTCACGCCTATAATCCCAGAACTTTGGGAGGCTGAGGCAGGTGGATCACCTGAGGTCAGGAGTTCGAGACCAGCCTGGCCAACATGGAGAAACCCCATCTTTACTAAAAATACCAAAAATTAGCCGGGCGTGGTGGTGCAAGCCTGTAATCTTAGCTACAAGGGAGGCTGAGGCAGGAGAATCACTTGAACAGGAGAGGTGGAGGTTGCAGTGAGTCGAGATCGCGCCACTGCACTCCAGCCCGGGTGACTGTCAGGATTTTAATAAGGGCTTCATGGAATCTGCAGACTGTGTTGGGTGGTGCTGCCATTTTCACTACATTAAGTCTTCTCATCTGTGAACACCGGATGTCTTTCTCTTTACTTAGGTCTTTAATTTCTTTCAGCAACACCTGATAGTTTCCAACATGAGCCTTTTGGCTTCTTGGTTAAATTTACTCCTAAATATTTTATTCTTCTTGATGCTACTGTAAATGAAACTTCTTTCTTATTTTCTTTTTTGAATACTTCATTAAAAGTATAAAGAAATGCAACTGATTTTTTGTGTTAAGTTTTTTTTTTTTTTTTTGAGACGGAGTTTCGCTGTTGTTACCCAGGCTGGAGTGCAATGGCACGATCTCGGCTCACCGCAACCTCCGCCTCCTGGGTTCAGGCAATTCTCCTGCCTCAGCCTCCTGAGCAGCTGGGATTACAGGCACGCGCCACCATGCCCAGCTAATTTTTTGTAGCTTTAGTAGAGACGGGGTTTCACCGTGTTGACCAGGATGGTCTCGATCTCTTGACCTCGTGATCCACCCGCCTCGGCCTCCCAAAGTGCTGGGATTACAGGCTTGAGCCACCGCGCCCGGCTTGTGTTAAGTTTTTATCCTATCTTGCTGAATTAGTTTTGTTAGCTAGCAATATTTTTGTGTCTTCTTTAGGGTTATCTACATATAAGAACACATCATCTGTGAACAGAGACAATTTTACTTGTTCCTTTCCCATGTGAATGATTTTGACTCTTTTTTTTTTTTTTCTGAGACGTACTCTTGCTATCGCCCAGGCTGGAGTGCAGTGGGTACAATCTCAGCTCACTGCAAACTCCACCTCCTGGGTTCAAGCGCTTCTCCCTGCCTCAGCCTCCAGCGTAGCTGGGACTACAGACACGCACCACTACGCCCAGGGAATTTTTGTATTTTTAGTAGAGGCAGGGTTTCGCTGTGTTAGGATGGTGTCAGCCTCCTGGTCTCGGCCTCCCAAAGCGCTGGGATGACAGGCCTGAGCCACTGCACCTGGCCCCTTTGACTTTTTTTTTTCTTGCCTAATTGCTCTGGGTTGAAGACAGAGAGAGATGAGTACACCATAAGGCAAACACTCACACAGCAAACCCCCCATTAGCTCATCGGTCTGTCAGACTCTGTAGAGAGTGAGTGCTCACCAGCGTTTTTTAATAATAAATCAGGTGACCAAGTGAGGTGAAGGAACTATTTCTGGACAAATGGGTCAGTGTGTGAAGGCACCAAGTCCTGGAGATGTTTCTGTAAGGATGTCCCTTGCTCAGCTTTCTGAGAAACATCTACACACACACTAGGGTGGCGATTCTGACAAGTGAACATACCTTGGGATCCACCAGGGCCCCGGCCTTGATGAGGTACTTCACTGCCTCCAGATGGTTGTTTTCGGCTGCTTCCATCAATGGGGTCCTCTGGTCTTCTGAGCAGGTGTCGATATTGGCGCCCGCCTAGTGAAACAACAGGTCAGGTGTATGGGAAGGCACGGGAGCTACCGCCTGGTGGGGAAATGCCTTACGGGCTTCCACCCTCGAAAAAACACAGCTGCATCGTTTCAGTGACCAATGCCTGAGTTTTCCAAACATGTATTCAAAGACAAAATTATTCTATCAAACCTTTAGTCTAAGCACAATATTTTTGCTAGATTTAATTCCACTTCTAAGGTAATTTGACAAAAAATCTTTGCAGCACAGGAGTGTGACAACACCTTTAGAAATGAGGAGGATGGTGACAACCTTTAAGGCAGACAAAGCAGGGAAGGGAGGGGCCCCTCAGCACAGAGGAGGCAGGAGGGAGGTGCCAGCTCACCCTGCCAGGCCTGCACAGCACCCTCTTGCTGTTTTAGTACTTGCCAAAATAAACAGAAAAAAAACCTGACTTCCAGTACTATCTATTTTCATTTCTCTGGATAAACTGAGAAACTTGAAAGACTGCTTAACTGGCAGGCACACATCGGTAAATTTTTCTTTGTCTGAAACTTAAGAAGCCCCAACTTTAAAATTGGTTGTGTGCTAAAAGCAAACCAGCTGTTTAAACTTTCTTTCCATGAGGAAAAACTTCTTAGATGACAAAGACCTAATATTTCATTTATAAAATAAACATTATGAAAAAAGGTTGAAAATAGTATTGTTTTTACTATTAGTAATTAAAAAGCAAAAGTGACACAACTAAATAAGAAATGTTTAAACAGCCCTAGAATGCTCTATATGGAAAACGAAGCTAACTCGTAAAGGCTAAGAGGGGCAGAGAGGCCGGGTGTGGTGGCTCACACCTGTAATCCCAGCATGTTTAGAGGCCAAGGCAGGTGGATCACTTGAGGTCAGGGGTTTGAGACCAGCCTGGCCAACAGAGTGAACCCCCACCAATTAAAAATACAAAAATTGTCTGGGTGTCCTGGCAGGTACCTGTAGTCCCAGCTACTGGGGAGGCTGAGACAGGAGAGTTACTTGAACCCGGGAAGCAGAGGCTGCAGTGAGCCCAGATTGTGCCACTGCACTCTAGTCTGGGCAACAAGAACAAAACTCGGTTTCAAAAAAAAAAAAAAGGCAAAAACAAAACAGAGGGGCAGAGAAAGGCTCAGGGGAATCTGACTAGAAGGAGCTGAGCTGCACCAAAGAGAACTCGGGATCCACAGAGCAAGGGTCAGAGGTCAAAAGGCTGAGGCCTGGAGGCGCACAGCAGGGCAGGGACCCACAGCTGACTTCAAAAGCCAAACCTCAAAGCCAAGGTCCAGAGCCAAACCTGAAGGTAAAGTGGCACCAGGATTCTACAGCTGCTAATTTTTAACACATAGGAAGCTTTAAAAAACACACAAAATAGCCAGGCACGGTGGCTCACACCTGTAATCCCAACACTTTGGGAGGCTGAGGTGGGTGGATCACAAGGTCAGGAGTTCGAGACAAGCCTGGCCAATATGGTGAAACCCAACTCTACTAAAAAAACAAATTAGCCAGGTGTGGTGGCACATGCCTGTGACCCCAGCTCCTCGCAGGCTGAGGTGAGAGACTGTTGAAACCGGGAGGCGGAGGCTGCAGTGAGCCGAGATCATGCCATCGCACTCCAGATGGGCGACAGAGAGTCTGTCTGAAGAAAACAAACACGCAACACACACACACACACACCAAGGTAGAAAGCGAGGCCCGTGCTGTGCAGAGGAGCTGCGGCTCTGCCTGAACCCTCAGCACACAGAGGCTGCGCCCTCAGCCCCCAAAAATCCCGGGGAAAGAACAAAGCGCGCGCCAGCTCCTGGCCGGCAGTGCAGGCGGCAGCGCAGAGACCCAGGTCTGCAAGGGCAGGAGGGGCTGACAGCCTCCGGTGGAGCCTGGGGGACGATGGGGGTCGTTCCCCAAGAAGGAGGGCTTGGGCAGCTCTCGGCAGCCCCTCACAAACGGGAGCCTGCCACGCGTTCCTCGAGCGTGGAGCCCTCCCAGACACGCCTCGCACCCAGGACCCAGGTAACCAGAAGGAAGTGACCCCACCCATGAAGACACAGGGCACTGAGACAAAGTCCGAGAAACCTCTGGGATGGAAGAGAAGCGCGGAGCAAAAGGAAGAGTCGAAGGGAGACTGGAGCGGAGGCCAACAGCATTTCCAAACAGACCTACCAGCGCCAAGAAACGGGTCCCGCCCCACATCCAGCTCCATCCTGGACCCCACGGACCCGCCTCCCACGCTCTCCATAAACCCCCACTGCAAGCGGGGCGGCTGGCACTGACCAACCCCGTACAGCCTGGGACTCCACGGCCGAAGCCGTCGGCCTCTCACCCTCTGCGAGGCTGGCGCACACCCCGCCATCGGCGGGAAGGGCCTCACCCGCGGCCCGGCGCTGCCTGCGCTACCCATGGCAGTCCGTCCGCCTCCCAGGCACTGGACCCGCAGCAACTCCCACTTGGAGCCCAGGAGGCACCGTCGCTCTCCCAGTCCCAGAGGGGAGGAGAGAGAACCTGCAGCTCGGCAATACCCCTATACCTGCAACCTCCAATACCTAAAAGCCCTCTACGCCTGCAAGACCCCTCAACCTGCAACCTTCCTACCTGCAAGGCCCTCACATCTGCAACTTCCCCCCACCTGCAACCTTCTTACTCATGCAAGATGCCCTAAACCTGCAACCTCCCTACACACCTGCAAGGCCCTCTGCACCTGCAAGACCCCCTACACGTGTGAGACGCCCTTAAACCTGCAAGCGCCCTACACGTGAGACGCCCTTAAACCTGCAAGCGCCCTACACGTGAAAGGCCCTTAAACCTGCAAGCGCCCTACACGTGAGACGCCCTTAAACCTGCAAGCCCCCTACATGTGTGAGACACCCTTAAACCTGCAAGCCCCCTTCATGTGTGAGACGCCGTTAAACCTGCACACGCCCTTAAACCTGCACGCGCCCTACATGTGTGAGACACCCTTAAACCTGCAAGCCCCCTACATGTGTGAGACGCCCTTAAACCTGCAAGCCCCCTACATGTGTGAGATGCCCTTAAACCTGCAAGCCCCCTACATGTGTGAGACGCCCTTAAACCTGCACACGCCCTTAAACCTGCAAGCCCCCTACATGTGTGAGACGCCCTTAAACCTGCAAGCCCCCTACATGTGTGAGATGCCCTTAAACCTGCAAGCCCCCTACATGTGTGAGACGCCCTTAAACCTGCAAGCCCCCTTCATGTGTGAGACGCCCTTAAACCTGCACACGCCCTACATGTGTGAGACACCCTTAAATCTGCAAGCCCCCTACATGTGTGAGACGCCCTTAAACCTGCACACGCCCTTAAACCTGCACACGCCCTACATGTGTGAGACGCCCTTAAACCTGCACACGCCCTACACGTGTGAGACGCCCTTAAACCTGCAAGCCCCCTACATGTGTGAGATGCCCTTAAACCTGCAAGCACCCTACACCTGCTGGGCTCTGACCGTCTCAGTGGTGCAGGCTGCACCCTCCTATAGGTGGAAACTGGCCCAGGTCACCTGTCAGCTCCAGGCCATGCTCCCCTTTTCCAGGGGAGAGTCCCTCTGCCACCACCTTTCCTCCAACCCATGCTTCCTCGGGCGGGGCAGGCACAGGGTGGAGCCCAGGGGCCAGCAGGCACTGTCTCAAGCACCTGAGGTCAGGCGGCCCCACCCAAGCCTGCCCCAAGCCAAGAGCACCTCTGGCTGGCCGACATGAGCCTCACCCCAGCTGAGGCACTGGCAGAAGGGGATGCGCATGAAGCCTTTGCCAAGGCCCTGAGCCCCCGCTGCGTGCTGCATGGTCGGCCCTACCAGCCGCTCTGTCCCCACCACTGCCCAGCAAGGGCTTCAGCATCAAGTCCCTGCTAGGGTACTCCGGGGAGGGGTATCCTGGCCAGGGCTGGTGCCAAAGAGCCGTCCAGCTCCTACAGGCAGGTACAGGGTACAGTGTGGAGGAGGCAGTGCCCATCCCACCCCTACCCTCCTCTGATACGCCTCTGTGGCCCCTCTGCCCCCTTCCTGGCCCCATGAGAATGGAGGGGGAGGCTTCCCTGGGGGCAGCCATAGGGCCCTCGACCATCTCCCCAGAGCCTAGGGCTTGGCCTCTCCACCTACTGCAGGGCCCCTCAGTTCCCTGCGGGGGGGCTGTCCAGTGGGGGATACAAGGCCTCCCTCTGGGGCAGCTGCCCACCTCCTACTTGTCTACACTCCCAATGTGGTAATGCACTTGGCACCACCACCCACCTCCTGTCCCCAGTGTCCACCATCAACCAACCCTGCCTACTGGGGGGTGGCCGCTGAAACCCGAGGGCCCTGAGGACTGCTCTGGGATCTAGACGCCCTCTTCCAGGGGGTGCCACCCAACAAAAGCATCTATGATGTTCAGGTCAGCCACCCTTGGGACCTGGCAGCCCCAGCCACAGGCTGGCTGATCTCCTGGTGCAGCCTGTGAGGCTCCTGAGGCAGGGGCAGCTCCTCCCTCCCACTCCCACCCCCAGCTTGTTGACAGGCAGCCAAGGGCAGGCAGGTATCTACCACAGCAGCCTTACAACACCCGAGGCAGCAGCCTTGCTGGGAGTCCACGGTGTTTACTGGACTATTCCACACGTGGTTGTGGCCCAGCTGGGCGTGACCCTGGCCCTGGTCAGTCATGCCTCTGCTTCCCCTACACTCAGAGGTAACTGGAGGGGTGGGGCTGGGCCTAGAATGGCCTTTCTCGGTCCCTTCTTCTCAGCCCACCACGCATCCATCCATTATCAGCTGTCACCTGAGGGTAGATGCAGCCTGGGAAGGAGGGAGCATCTTTTCGGGAAAAAGCGTCGGGAATAAAGACTGGACCCGACGTAGTCTTGGTGGGGCGCGGGGGAGACAGCAGTAAAGGAGTTTACGACTTTTTTTTAAATAAGAGACAACAGAAGATCAGACTGACGACAACATGAGTGTCCGCGGTGACTTCCATGCGACCATGTGGCACCCTCGCTCGGTGCTCTCCAGAAACCGCAGACACGGCATGAGACCCTACAGCACAAGATCCAGGCTGCTGAGTGGCAACACATGAGAGGGCAGCAGCACCCAAAGCCGGAGCAGATGGAAGCGTAGCTCCCAACTCCACAATCGGAAAACACAGATTAAGTCAGTGGGGTAAAAGCCCCGGGCACAGGAGGCAGCTCGCACATCCAGGAGGCTACAGAAACGACCCTCAGAGCCCTGCCCCCGAGCCTGGGAGCCAGACCACTGATGTCCCCAGCGCCGGCAAAAGGCTGGGGTGGACTTCAGGTCAGCTGCCAGGGAAGCACTTTCTGCACGATGGATTTTTCTGTCGGTGGCTCCTGACAGGCGTGGCTACTGAGTCCTCAAAGTGAAGCTCATGTGACTGAGGGTGCGTCTTCATTTTTAATACAAGGAGTCACACATGGCAGAGTGCCTGTGCTGCAGTGGGGGCAGGGAGCCCTGGGGAGACTCAAGCCAAGCGGGACCTCTGGTTCCCTCTCGCAGGGTGAACACGAAGCCCTCTGGTTCCGGGGGACCCTC